GCTCAACCTCACCCTCTCCTCCCTCCCTCCCCCTGTTTCCTCACCTCTGCTGTTCCTGTCTGTTTATTTCTGTCACCAGTCTTTTGGGTTGGTATTTTCCAGAGACATTAATTACCAGACTGCAGACACAGAAAGTGACACGGGCTAAATCCAACTGGTCTCCTTCCTCCTCGGTGTAGAATATGACAACAAGGGGAGGTTTTTACCTTAAAAACGTAATCCCTTTGTTTGTCAGTAAGCAACATGAATATAACAAAAATATTCATTATTATTTTTACCCTTTACCACAAATGTAAAACTCACTTCACTGTTCTTTTGTTGGGCATCTCCAACCAAAATGAAGCCAACTTCAGCAGATATAGTTGAGGTGTTCAGTATCTGAAGTTTCTCAGCCCAGCAGGTTGAAAACACCTCAGGCACAAACCCTGAATATTTTTCACGGTAGTTCACACGGAGACTCGTGTATTATTCAAACGCTCTGAGAACCAAGGGGAAAAGTTTAAAAAGAAAAAAAGTCCCAGTCGGAAAGATTAAAGCAAACCTCTTACACAGAAACTGGTTTTTAAATAACAGGCTCTTTGTCTTAAAGTGCGCTGGGGCCGTGGGGCACGATGGAGACCAAAGGCTTTGCTACGTCGCACGACACCTGTGAAGTGATGCAGAAAAACAGTAGTTAGTCGCAGCCGAAGTTTGTAGTTCAGTATTTTTAATCTGTTTTTTTTTTTTGTTTTTTTTTTTGTCAGTCAAAACTTGTGCTTGTCCTCACTGCTAACTGTCTAAGGGTGTGTATTGGTAAGAATCTGGCGATACGATACGTATCACGATACAGGGACAACGATATATTGAGTCCCTGTACAATCAACTAGCAGAGGTTTAAATGCAACAACAATTTGTTAATTTGTGTTGCATGTTGTTAATTGTTAATTTAAAAAAATGATACAGTGCTGGAGAATATCAATGCCGTATTGAATTGAAATATTGCGATATTTCAATGTATTGGTAGTTCTCACTATCACCACTATCACTGTATCAAATTCAAGTTCAGGATAATCGAACGTCACAATAACTCAAATTTAAGACTGAAAATGATTTCTTAACCAGGAGTAAATGAGCTGATGATAAATGAGTTTGAACGGACGTCTTTTGAAAGACGAGCTCAGAGAATTCCACTCGGTGTTTCCTCGCTGTGTTGTCGTCACTCGCTCCAATTTTAGCGCAGGAAGTGTAGCAACAAGGGTGAAGCGCAGTTTGCCGTCTAGTCTGGCTTCTGCGAGGAACGCTATTTAAACCCACAATATCAAATGTCTCTCTGTAACAACATCTGGTGGAGACCGTGAGATAAAATGAACAGCAGAGACATGTTCTTCTTCTACACACTCAGTCCGACGGGGGTGTGAAGTTAAAGCATGTCATTTGTTTTATTGCGCATGACGCTGCGTGTGAAACTAACACCTGTGGTGGATTAAAAAAATAAATA